AGCTCATTCTCTGTGTATGTATACACACACATACTGTATATATTCACTGACTGTGTTTATACATGTTCAGTTGGTTTTATTCCAGCTGCAAGCTCAGCACCAAGCCTCGTGTAGACATATATGTGTGTGTGTGTGTGTGTGTGTGTGTTCATATGTCAGCAACCAATGATTAATGACCCACAGCCCTGCTTTTTCCACTTCCTTCCTCTCCAGTCGTGTCACACACATCACCGTGTGTCACCATAATGGACGCCGGCAGACGGCTGTAGCAGCTCCTGTTCGGCCTCATGGATGCAAACAGACCATAACATCCTCCACATGCAAATACACTCACACATTTACATTTAAAGCTGCACTGAGAGAGTTTGCATGTCAGTAGCACCATAATGGGCCATCAGTAAACCGTGTCCTCTTGTAACCTGAAGGGGAGGTCAGCTTTATGATTTTTCAGGAGGATTTATTGCTGTTTTAAGATACCTTTTTATGTTTCACTTCAAAGTTTTAGTATTGCATTGTGATTCAATTCACCTACCAGCACCTCTAAAGCTCTCTAATAAAGAACAAGTTACATCTCTTCTCCTGGACTCCCACTCACAGTGATGACAAGACAGACAAATAGTCACACGTTACATCTTGATTTTGTGATTTGTACAAAAAAAACTAACCCTAAAAATGACAAGTTGTTTTCTTAGTATAAAGGTCTAAGCATATAGGCTTTAGTCTTTATGCTAAGCTAAGCTAATTGCTTGAACCGGTCTAGTTACACGTAGACATCTATCCTCGCTCCTTTTCTTTGTAAGTATTCACCCAATAAAACAATAATCCAACTCAACAAACAGTGTGTGAATTTAATCTGGGGAGCAACCAGAGGAGTCACTAAGAGAGAGCTGATGTATAAAAGCAACATGAGAATGGTATCGATCTCCTCATCTTACTTACAAGAGAGCGAATAAGCAGATTCTCCAAAATGTTGAATATTTTTTTAACAAGAGAACAAGGGTCATTTCTCACAAATTTATAATCTGAGCTGATATGGAGACAATCTTTATACATTTAGTAAAATCTCTGCCAGTGCAGCTTTAACATTTTATTAGGCCTTTACCCACTGAAAGTTTAACAGTAGAATACATTTCAGTTCCTAGATTCCTACTGTGGCTGTGTATGCTTGAAAAAAACAAGAATAAGAAGGAAGTACATATGCACATGCACACACAGACCCAGTGAATACATCTCATCCATCAAAGAATCACAGACCTTTCCAAACCTGTTCTGTCAAAAACACTTTTGTATAGGATGACAAAAAAAGTGCTGCAAAAGGAAAGTGTGTGAGCACATGTGTCTGAGACTGTCTGCTGACATGCTGCAATGTGCTGTAAGTGTGTGTGAAAGAGGGGGAGAGAGACAGATACAAGAGAGAGAAAGAGAGGGAGTGGTACTGACAAAGAAAGAGAAGAAAGAGAGAGGGAATGGTGGATAAAGACTGAAAAAGAATGAGCAGTGGAAAAAGAAGGAGAGAACAGAAAGAAAGGGATCAGCAGAGAGACAGAAAGCAAGCAAGTCTTGCATGTGTGTTGGTTCCCAGCCCTGTCAGGGCCCTGTCAGCCTGTGATTTATGGCACCAAGACTGGGAGCAGTCTTCGCTGCCAGCTCAGTATTGTTACAACTGACAGCTAATGAGGCCGGACGGGCTTTCAAGCACAGCACTTAACAGAGGCCTCCATCTTCACGAGTCACGAGCTCTCGTCTTTCTTTTCTCCCCTCTCTTTCTCTCTCCCATTTATTTCTTCTTCCAGGGTGGCAGCAGTGTGGCGAGCTACCACGAAAAATTCTGGGGGTGCAGAGAGAAAATAAGGCAGGCCGACAGAGATATATGGGCGACACTCCGTTACTGCCGCACTTCCACTCTCTTCCTCCTGCATGCTATTAAGCCAGAGGCTCAGCTCATATAAATGAGGGGGAGAGGGTGAAATACACAAAGGGAGAGATCCAGCCTCTACACTGCGCTACACTTCTCTTCTCAAACCAAAATATTCCGCTTTTTCTACAATTATCCTGTCGTGTTTTCAAAGCCTGGAGTCACATGTCTTCTCCGTATATCTGTGATTATGTGAGTGTGATCTGTGTGAAGGTAGCTGAACTTTATAGCCTTGGCTGTGGTGTGTTTTACCTTCAACACCCCTGGCCTGGACTGCTTGGACCCCTTTCTATAATCAGTACCAGAGTCTCTGGCAGAGCAGAGCTGCCCTGCCTTCCCTCCCCTCCACCTCCACCACCTCCTCCCTCGGCCCCTGGTTTCTTGTCAGTCGTGATTAATGGCACTAGGGCCCCGGCGCGGCTTACACTGCCAGTTCCAGCGATGTTCCCTTGATACTTAATGAACTCTGACAAACTTCTTTTCCCTTGCTCTGTTGTTCCCTTTCCCCTCCACCACCCACCCCTCCCTACTTAAAATGCACGGCACAGAGCTGCCACTGCAGCACCTAGGGGTTAGCTCTGGTCCTTTGTAAATTTCTCAAGCGGCCAACGTCTAAAAATAAAGCACCACAGCCATTTTAGTGTCAAGACCCCTAGTTGTGTGTCACTTCCAGTTGCTGATTGAAGATGAAATAGATCAACTTTGTGAGTTTTTCAGTGATTGCCCTTTTAAATTGGTATATTGTAGCCTATTTTTATATTTTTTTTTACAATAAATGTCAAACTTTCTGTTTGTGGCTTTTACCAACAGCCAACCAATGCAAATCAGTGCATGTTTAAAACAAAATATCTGCTGCAAGATAGTAGTGAAAGTCTCCAAAAGGCAAAAATGTTAAAATGATGGCAGACTGAGGTAGCAGGATAATGCAGCCTTCTCTACAGTTTTGTCATTAAAAAATTAAGCAGTGCATTCCAGCTGGTCTCTGTCGCCATCTGCTGTTCACATCATGAAAGTGGAACCACAGGCTAGTTTTGCATTTATAATATCTGAAGTAGTATAATAATTTGTATATAGTTATACTGATAATTTAGCAGTACACAAAATAGAAATGACCATTTTAATGCCACTATAATGGACAGAGGAGGCTAAAGCAAGTTGTTCTGAATCAAATTCAGGAATTCAAAGTGTAGAATCACTTCCATAAGGACAGACAGTGAACGTTTTTGTGGGTTCCAGCTCATAAATGTATAAGGGGAAGGGGGTGGATGATCAAGTTAAAGAAACCTCCCAAGTGAAAACAACAAAAGAACCAGTTTGCAGGTGGGATATATGGAAGCCCATTTCCGCCAATATGACGGGGAAAAAAGGATTCTTTCTCTAAAGATTGACTTAGTATCTCAAAATATTGACTTAGTATCTTAAAATATTGACTTAGTATCTTAAAATACTAACTTAGTATCTCAATATTTCGACTATCTCAAAATAATGAGAAGCCTAAATTAGAATAGGCCTGTGTATTGTTTCCTCATATGCTCCAAAGCAACAGAAGAAGGATGCACCAAAAATGTTGATAATGATAATTACTGATAGAAAAACTGCGGGTCAATTGATGCGACTGGGACCGCGTAGATCTGCGTTTGCAACCGTTTAAGACGGCGTACGTATGTCAGTCGTGGGTTAAACTATGTATGGCATATAGATGGCAAATTAAAGCCTTATGGCATATGTATCAGTGGTTGCATAGATGGCTTCTCAAGAAAAATGATAAAGTTGGAAAACCAACAATGACCCTCGTATTATCACAGGTTATTTTATAGACGCTGTGACTGAAAACAATGGATGTCCACATAAAGTCAGGTTAGATTACGCTGAGACTACCCACTTAACAAAGTTGGTAACACTGTACACCGGTCCCATCCATCAGTCGCATCCATTGATGCACAGTTTCTCTGTCGGTAATTATCCCAGCCATCCAACATTTCTGGTACATCCATCTTTAGCCGTGCTGTTTGCCACACATTTCTAACTGCTGGTCAATGCTACTTCAGCTACATCTGTCTTATTTCGCCCCTGCAGAGCTGATTCTTTTGTAGCTTTCTCTCTAGGGTCTGGAAACTTAGTTTGAAATTATGTGATTCCTGCAAAACCGCTAAAACCTCACTATTTGTGAATCCACGTCTAAAGTAGTCTGTACTGAGTCAAAATATTGAGATACTAAGTCATTATTTTGAGATACTAAGTCATTATTTTGAGATACTTAGTCATTATTTTGAGATGCTTAGTCATTATTTTGAGAAAGTTTCTCATTATAATGACTTAAATAATCCTTTTTCTCCCCTGTCATATTGGCGGAAATGGGCTTCCATAGAGGATATGAACAGTTTCAAGTTGGAGAAGGGGAAAAACAGACGGACATTAATAGCACTTTGAAGGAAATATTAGGGTTCCCATCAGGTGATAGAACTATTCAGTTTTTTCTTCTAGAGCCAGCAGGGGATGACAGGAAATGGGGCAGAGAGAGAAAGATACAGCAAATATCCTAAGCTGGACTCTTACCAGGGACAGTACTGTTAATGGTCAGCCCCATGAGAGACATATCTAGTTTTGTTTGCAGTTTATTCATACTGTAAAAAGTCCCCCTCCACTCAAAAATCTGTTTTTCTTCCTGTTCCTACTGTGTGATGTTTGAATGCAGAATGTACAGAGTTTGACTCTAGAAGGATGTTTTCACATTCATCTGCTGAAAGTGGAAAGTTTCTCTCTGCTCTTTGAAAATCAGATTTTAAAGGGCAGGGCCTACCAGCATGATTTGTGACATCATAAATAGTTTGGAAGTCTTCCTAGTCCAGTGTGAAACATATACAAGTGTGATGTAGGACATACAGGCTAGGTGAACTGGTAAATATAAAACCTCCTGTTTTATACTTATTAGTCTATTCAATATCAGATAAACATGTATTTGCCACGGTGGTCAACAGGGGCCCAAAGGAGCAAATAATGAGTGTGAATCAGTCGACCCACTCCATCAGTACATGTGAACGACCGCACACGAGGGGGCGCTAATGCAACAATTTGGATGCCAAACAATCAAACGAAGAAGAAGAAGAAGAAGAAGAAGAAGGTAGCAGGTAGCAGGTAGCAGGTAGCAGGTGCCTGCTTGTTATCTGCTCTCGGACGAAATTACAGGTAAGACCAGCCGAGTAAGAGGGACATATGTTACTCTTTATTTAATCAACATATCTGGTATCCGCGGCCTTGTTTAATGTGTCAGTAGCATGTCAATAGGAGAGAAACGTGCTCAGACCGTGATGCTAACTTGTAACATTAGCTAAGGCTCGTCAATAGTTGGCCTTGTGTTGCGCTTTGACGCCAATAGGAAAGTGTATCTAACGTGAGGTTGTGACCTCTAGGTAACCGACGGTATCACTGAAGCCATCTGCTATTTAAGACACCAACAATAATAACGTAACGTTAACTTACGTTATGCTGTCATGGCTAGCTCCGAAGCCCTCGAAACCAAATTCAGTTCAAATGTTTTGATATTTTAAGTTGACTTAACAATAAGTCATACATACTTTTCTTAATTTGATTACTTTACAACTGTATACAAATCTTTAGATTCACTTCTTCAATTCGGCATGCACGTGTTACTGTAAAATGTTTAATAAAGTGTTAACTTTGAACTTTGAACTGCTCCAAGGTTGTAGCTAGCTAACTGTTACGTTTCCGTCCACCGCTTTTTTTTATTTCACAAGTTTTGTTTTGTTTGGACTCGGATACGTTATATGCTGAAATTGCCAACAGACCTTTCCTGTTAGTGCAGGATGTTAACATAGTTTTGTTCCTTTGCAATGATACCGCTAAGTTACCTTACCTTATCTGTTTCCTTCAGGTTTGTGCATGCAGGATGTCAATACAGCTCCACATCTTTATTACACATTATCTATCGTCACACTGTTCTTGTGGTGATCTGTTTATTCTTTAAGTCTTAACGTTTGTATTTGCTTATTTATTTCTTCCCAAGATAAACACGATCAGCTTCAAAATAAATGTTGCATATTATTGTCCTGCAATGAACAAAGTCAGAATAGAAACCACACCACATTAAAGCAAGGGCGATATATATTTAATAGGCTCTAACACACAAAGGGAAATTGTGTAAACACTGCTGTATAAACAGTGTGACTCAGAAACAGCCGGGGCACCAGATTGTGCCTTTGCAAATCCTTCCTAACCAAAAGTGAGACGGCTCCTCATCCAACAGTGTCAGATTAGACGGCTAAATAAACCTTTGTCCATGCATAAGTGACTGTAGTGCAGCGTCGTAAGATGGGTGACTGGCAGGTTCATTTTATACACAAGGAGAGGTTACAGCGTTTTCACACTTTAGCTTCAATCCTCTTTAAGTGTGGCAAGGTCACTGAGTCCCAGCTGATGCCTGGCTAAGCCTGAGCTGAGAGGAGATAAACCAGTGAGTCAGAAGCCAACTCCAACATGTTAAGTTACTACAGTACTATACAAGCTGCAGACTAAATGGATAGACAGTTTATTGGTATTTGGGAGCATTTGGTTGTAATTTAGGCAGGATATTGCGTAAACACCAAAACAGAAACTCAGTTCCTATCTGTTCACTTTCACATGCTGTCTTCCCTGTCTGTCTGCCAGCCAGGATGGCACAGTGGGGTGCCATATTCTCCATAATTGCTGCTCTCGGAGGAGCAGCGCTCTTAGCCTCAGTACACAAGATCGACGAGGGACACACTGGAGTTTACTACAGGTGAGACTGCAGCACACATTGTTGTTGTTTATTTTTTGCCTTTAGAGACATTAGTGTTCAACTGCTCCTTTGTAAAACTGAACTCAATAAAGAAGAGAGCATCTGTGTAAAAGGTGTTTGCCTTAAGCAACTTCGGTGTTAAACAGTTATTACTATAAATACCTGGGCATTACGATTGCCAAGAAAGCTGTGGTTCTGACCCTCTGTACCTTCCTAGGTGCAGGGTGTTTAAAGTCTTATCACTTGCACAGACATGCAGTCAATATCAGTTTTCATAACAGAGAGCATAGAATCAGATATTGCCCGCTTCAGTGGGGCTCTTTACACAAAAGATTAACTGACACTTACTAAGCCTGTAGTCTCTTATGGATCACGACTCTGTCATGCACAGATAGAGATTGATTCTAAAGAAGATATTCTTCTGTGAAAATGATTTATCTTAAACCCCAATCAATGAGTTGCCAAGAATGTGAAACTGTAAAGTAGGTATATCTCTACTTGACATCAGCATGGGCAGCATGGCGGCTTTTTCTCCTTAATAAAGGTACCCAAAGTCAACACCCAAAGTTTTACCAAAAATGCTTTAATCCAAATCTTTAATTGATCTTACCACATTTAATCAGAATACTGTTTTTTTTTTTTTTTTTTCATTACAAGCTGAAATGAACCCAGGAGTATTATTTTCTTATTCTGAAGCCGAGCCCTAGATATAACGATCGACTGTGTGTCTGTGTATATGTATTGTAGGGGAGGGGCTCTCCTGACGACCACCAGCAGCCCCGGTTTCCATCTTATGCTTCCATTCATCACCACCTACAAGTCTGTTCAGGTGAGTCAAGTGAAGACTGTTTTATTTCTATAGCCTCAAACCCAAAATAACAAATATTCTGTAGTACCTTTGTCCTACAGTTCCTAACCCCCCCCCCCATAAAAAGTTGATCACTGAAAAACACAATGAAAAGGGATGTACTGAGATGCGTTGACAACATCCGCATGAGAGAGAAAAGGTGTTTCCATGAAGAGGAGGTATTATGCTTTTCCTTAGTGTCTGTCATAAATGTAATATAATAATTAAAGTGTCAGATGTTGATAATAAATGACGCCATGTGAGCAAGAAGCTCAGTGTTTCCAGTGTCTCTTTCCAGATGAAGTATTCCATGAAGAAGCAGTATAAGATAAATAAGGATGTTTTGAAGTCATGCAAAGCTACTCTATTGGAGTCTCAGACTAAGAAGATAAAGCAGATAAAGAAACCAGCCTACTTTAACTCTTTTTGACCTCAAATGAGGTTGAAGCTGAAGTTGATGAAGTTGTTTTGTGAAATGCCACCAACCTTTTCTAATGCGACACTTGAAAATGTCCATAGAAGTATGGTGATGGAAACGCGGCTATAAGGATGTTGATTCAGCTCTTAGTGGTGGTGTATTGCATTTCATGATACTCACCAGGACTTCCTATAACTGTTTATCCTGCAGATACAACTGAAATCCAGGTTTCTTCAATTTACCATTTTGAATAGTGAGATTTCTTACTATGTTGATGGATTTACTCCCAGTCCTACCACTGTTTGTTTGGTATTTTTGTAATGATGTCAGTGTATGTTTTTCTGTTCCTAACATCCATAACAAAGAATTAAAAGATCTTTGTTTTTCTCTTGCAGACGACGCTGCAGACTGATGAGGTTAAGAATGTACCATGCGGCACAAGGTAGGTCTGCTGTTTTGATTAGCTTAAATATTATCAGATGTTGGCTCCAAATGTATTACACCAACACTGCCAAAATCTGAGATTTATCAGCACTAGGGCAGCATAATTAATCAAAATATTTTTTAATATCCAAATTGCAGAGGCTGCAACAAAACAGCCTTATACTAAAGTACTGTAGTGCTGCAGAGATGCCCTGGCCTTCAAATCTTGTTCTACAGATATAAGAAAACATGTTTATTTAGTACAGACCCCAACAAATGTCATGATTTTAATATTTTTTTTCAGTGAAAATGAAATGTTAAAAAAATTCTCATTCACACATATGATGAATCATATTGCATTCGCAGTATCAGTGAAATTAATAACAATATATATTTTTTTACTATATCGTGTAGCCCCACTCAGCGCACGTATGAACCACTGGCATCACTGATGATACAGATGATACAGTCCTTTCTCTCTTCTCCTGGTGTTCGATAAATGTGTCTGTCAATAGTTAATATTATGTTTGTTTTTTTTCTTCCAGCGGAGGAGTGATGATTTACTTTGATCGCATAGAAGTGGTGAATTACCTTGTGCCATCAGCAGGTAAACTCACCAGTGTTCAACAGTCAAACATCAAACAGTGCATTTATCCTAAACTCCCTATTCATTTCTTTTCCCTTCACATCTGGAGATAGTTTGGCACTGACAGACACATTATACATTGCTTTGTTGCAGCTGGCTGCAGCAGAGCCAAATCTGTGTGTTCTGTGTTCGCTGTCATTCCTGAGTTGATTGAGCACTCTTTTCCCTCTCTGCAGTGTACGACATAGTGAGGAACTTCACAGCAGACTACGACAAAGCTTTGATATTCAACAAGGTTCACCATGAACTCAACCAGTTCTGCAGTGTCCACTCGCTGCAGGAGGTTTACATCGGATTGTTTGGTGAGTGTGGTGGGCTGCGGACTGGGTGTAAACTAACTACTAATTTGAAACACCTCTTCTTGGCATTTTTTAATGAAACAGCATGTAGTCAACCTACAGATGAGCGTTCAAAGCACCATAAATCTATGGCTCGTCTCTTTTGCCGTTACACACAGCAGCTGCTTTGCACATGGACTTTAGTAATAACTGTGTTTTCAGTCACTGTGCTAAAGAGAACCCACACTTGTCAGTGTTACAGCCTATCTACCTAACCACAGTCCACAGCATGTAAACACAACTGTGGCCTAATGATGATGATGAAACAGTGTACACTTGCATACATCATCATTATAAGAAGAGTAAAACGCTTATTTACAGTAATCAAGAAGAAACTATCTTCTACCTTTTGTTAGAATGAATTAAAGCTTATCATGTTCAAATGCTGATAGTTTATTGTTTTTTTTTTTTTTAGTTCTTAACAATCAACAACTGTTATTAAAGCTGTGGTAAAAATATATTTTGTGTCGACAGATCATCTGTGAAAAATTCCAATTTCTCTGGCTCCTCCTAATGAGATTTGCAAGAATCCGCCGGGCCTGAAAGAAAACAACCAGTCAGAGCCAAGAAAGATAGTTGAGTGTTCAGTCTCATTCTCAGGGTATCCAATACAGATGCTTGGGACCCTGGGAATGACACTGAACAATCAACTATCTTCAAGCTGCCAACCCAAAGCGTCTTCCTATCTTTCTCTGCTCTAAATGGTTGTTTTCATCCAGTCCCAGTGGATTCTTGCAAATACCATTAGGAGCAATTGGTGGACTCAGAGGAAGCTAATTTTTTCACAGATTATCCGTTGCATGTACTACTGTCAGGACACAGTGAAAGTTTCAACAATAATGACAAAGTTATTTTTATGTAACTTACCTACTGCAGCTTTAATTTAAAATCCTCTTTTGGTACCTATCCCTACTCATGTTCATCCTGGAGAAATAGCTGTGAACAATGCTCTTTTATTTACACATGTTTAGATAAAAGCAGGCCACTTCTTCTTAAGAAGTTAATTTTGATATTGATCTCATTGCTGATGACACACTGTATTTTGCAGTGGTTACAATTCAATATACTACTACTTTTTATCTAATTTTAGGAAAACTGTCATAGTATAAAGAACACACCACCATATGCATTAAGTCTAAGTTAAAAAAAGTTAAGCTTTATGCAACCAGAACAGGATGTGCATTTGTATTTATCATAGTCCCTGTATCATCCAGCATCATAGTCCTCAAGGGTCGTTTACAACACTGCTAGCTAGAGGTTGGGGATTTAACCGCAAAAAATGATTGAGTTTCTGAGAATTGATACAATATCATAAAGCAAAATATTGCAATTCTCAAGTGTATTGATATTTTCTAAAAACCCACTGAAGCAGTTATTGCCTGATACCAGTGAGTTGACTGACATATTTTGCACTTTTGTAGCAGAGATAACTTCGTTGTTTTTATCTGAAGCCGCACATGAAATGTGTCTGTACTCTGGGTATCAAACATACCTTTTTAAGTGTGGACTTAATGTTTTGTGACCCTGAAATTTGACATAATCCATTTATAGAGAGAATAAAATTTACTGTTTTAATCTCTCGTACTTTACCCCCACAGACCAAATCGATGAAAACCTGAAGTTGACATTACAAGAAGATCTGACATCCATGGCACCCGGACTTATCATACAGGTAAAGTTAAACCAACACAGTACATTGCTAGCATATGGATATCTAACAAAGCATCACTTTATAGCTTTTTGGAGCTGAATCTCATCTAATCTGACACGGTGTTTTAAAGCAAAAGGGGAAAAAAATCATCCCCCAAAAAGCATGAGCACCATGAATGGATATTATCTTAAGAAAATGTGTTGTTGAAACTTGTTTGTTATTGTGAGAGTTTGTGATAAAATCTCAGTAATACTGGATAGCCTTTGTAAAACATAATCAGTGCGTGTGTACAGTTTTGTTTTTTTAAACCTCCTAAAAAATAGGTGATTGATTACTTTGCAATACTTTTTTGTCACATTCAACGTCATTTAACAGTAGAAAGCAGCATTTGTGACTTGCCTTGGGCTGCAAGCAGTGCCTCTTTCGCTCAGTATTTTCTATATATTGTATGTCTCGCATAGCCAGACCTATCTACACAATGCTGTTTCAGCACTGGAGAAAGTGCCAGTGATCTGTCTCTTTAATTCCTCTTCCCCTCGAATCAGGAAAAGCTCTCTCACCTTGCTGCCTTTTGCCAGTGTTGCATCTTGCACAATACTAAAAACAGAATCACTGTTGCATGTTGTTCCCATAGACTGTAAAAAACATTAAACGATACAGTCTACATTAACATTGTGCCAGTAAAGGGGTGAAAGTGAGGGAGTTGTGTTTTTATCATTGTTGATTTGACCTGAACAACCAGGGTACCAAGTCTGGTTACAGTTTGCAGCCTTATATTCGCAGCCTCTATAAAGCCGGAGCGTTTTTCATAACAATACAAGACATATTTTTTTCAGGAAAGTTTAATAAAGGACAGTGTTATGGGTGACATTAAAAAGAGCCTAAGTGGTTTTCCCCTTCCCCTCCACACACACACACACACAGACACACATTTCATTCCTGTGTTAATGCTCCACTGGGCTTTAATACTCTGGCCTTTAGTTTCCTGTAAATCTCTAGAAACTTGAAACAGCAATTGTAGTTCTTTCTGAGAAACAATAATCTTGAAGTCAGAAGGTCTTTGAACAGGACTGTCTTTGTCTCTGGGCTCCTCTCCAACTGCCTTTTTTTTTTTATTACCCCCCAATGGGGGTAATATAATTGTTGTTACTCTGTTGCTGTCTTCACATCTTTGATTGATTCTGATTCTCATTGTATGTTTATCTTGCTGTTCCACAGGCAGTGCGTGTCACTAAACCCAATATCCCAGAGAGCATTCGCAGGAACTACGAGCTCATGTGAGTTTTTTTCCCCCTCAATGCCTAACAAGGAATGTTCACTAAAGCCTTTTTTTGTGTATTTATTTTTACTCCCAAATGGACGAACCTGATGTCCATCCAAATCCCCCTGCCAAGTCCTGCTTTTCCTTTTGTTTCATGTCTGTGAGCATCTAACTTTCGCTTCATGAATCAACAGCAAGTGCTCAGTCAAAATATTTGTGATAAGGAGAGGAAATTGTGGACTTGCAGTAAGTTGTACTAAGCTTCAGGGAAGCACTTTGATGCCTCAACCACTGTGTTCAGTCTTCAGGTCAGACTGTTACATTATCAGATATTGGAGAGAAATCAGACTTTAATTTAAGATCAGACACCGTCCCTGACTTTAAATTAAAATCTGATTTCTGACCCCTCACAGATGTGATTAATGCAACATGCATGTGTCAGCTGGCTTACTATTTAATGGTTGAACTGAGGTGGAGGCTAACTCTATCTAGTTGTATAGAGGATAAGGATCTCTGAGGTAATTGTGTGTCATCAGTTCAACTTCCCTGCTGCAACTGTACCAAAGCCAAGTGTTAACAGGGCCGTTACATGTTTCTTTCTGCCTTTCCCTGAAGTTACTCACTCATAACTTTGGTCTCATGAGTATAGTTGTTTTCAATGGTCAGTTTAAGTTTATTAAATGTAAATTTAAATGGTATCCACGTAATTTAATTTTGCATCTTTAGAAGGTGTCTACTTCTTTTTTTTTTTTAAAACAGCACTGTATCTGTAATCGGTACTTCTTATCGGTCCGATACCCACAGCCACGAGTATCGAATCGGTATCGGAGGGAAAAAATTGTATCGGAACATCTCTAAAATCGATAACACATGATTTACAGTAAATGACATCACTGCCTCCTGAGATCTCAGTTGGTGACTAATGGTTACCATAACCCACAAGAATGATGATCGACCAGAGAAAAAAAACAGGGAAAAAAACCCTCAACAGTGAGAACTGACCCAGCGCTTTAACACTAAAAACTAGTAACTGAGTTAGGTTTGGCGCCTACTGATGTAAGAGTGTAAAATAATAAAGCAAAGGCTCCACATGCGCCCACACACAGCTTTTTCTGTTTCTTTCCCACTAACAAAAAATGTTTCTGGTTGTGCTGCCAATATACCTGTACTCCAAAATCACATAATTTCTAATCTACTTTCATTACTACTACAATTTTAATGTTGCAGGCTGCACATTTAAGCAGTTACCTAGAGATTAAATAAAGATGCAGATGTGTAGGTAATATTCTCTGTGAACCATAAACAAGGAAATTCAAAGACACACAGAAAGAAATTTGCAATATCCTTGTTATAACTTAAACAGTTAGTTTTATTAAGTCCAGTTTTAGCCCCCCAATGGAGCTTCCACATAAGTGGAACTAACCTCCTCATTAAGCTGTGTGTGTGTGGTGTGTGTGTGGGTGTGTGTGGTGTGTGTGTGTGGTGTTGTGTGTGTGTGTGTTGCGTGACGGACAGAGACCTCCAAAAAAAGAGAGGAGGGGGTGGTGTTTTGGTGGCCCCAACGTTCTGCCCAGTCTGTGTGAGCTTCAGCGAGGCACATACCCTAATGAGCCCACACGACGGATTGTTTATTTAAATATAAGCGCGACCCCAAAACGAGCCTTTGGTCCCGACCATCGCGATCCGCCGAGCAGGCCGTCCAGTGACCAGTCCGCCACTGCTGTGAAATGATTATCGCATCCCTTCAATGTTTGATTAAGTGCTGGTGTTGAATATTGCAACACTTCGTGCCAGTGCCACCCCTCGAAATTGCTTCTTGCAAATATGTTGCAATGTCCCTGTGTTCTGGTCGGAACATCCAACTGTAAAGTACTGCCAAACCGCCGACATGTGCGCTAACTAGCCTCCTTTTTAACAGGTGTCAGGTGACAATTCTTCTTCACCCCTCCTAAAATACACTGCCGATGGCACACAGCGCAAAGTTTTAAAGAGCGGCGATAAGAACTATGTCCAGAGCTAACGGAGTAACCAGTAAATAGATTACTATTCTAATAAATACAATGGTATCTGGATCCGGAGCCTGGACTCCCCAAGTAACTCGCCGATACCGATGCCAGCATTTTTCGGCCAGTATCGAGGCAATTTCCGATACTGGTATCGGAATCGGAACAACTCTAATCAGTTTCCCATTCACATTTCTTATCCATCAAAACTACATCTAGATTTTAATTTTACCTCTTGCAATTACTTTAGTTTCTAAAAAAGGCAATTTTGGCGTGAACTTTGGATGAGCATACTTTTGGTTTCACTTTCGAATGGTTCAGAATGCACTTTGTGTGTTTAAACACAGTGCTGTTTTTATAGCCTGTGAGACAGTCTGGGCTTTGGTGCCGCTTACCTAACTGGACCTAAGTAAGGGCCAATTTTCTTTTTAAACAGCAGTCATATTGTTTTAATTTAGAGGGTTTGCCAAGATTTAATGTGGAGGCAGTGCACTTTATTCAGTGTTTCCAAGACAGCATGGGATTCATATGCTGGATTGGGAGTTTGGGGCTGGAAGTCTTGAGGTTTCCTCCAGCCTACATAACATGATTGCAGCATTAGCATCTTGTTCATGAACACCATTGAAGCACCGACTTCTAATTGAAGATCCTCACAATCCCACTAAAATACTAACTAGGCTTCTAAGGATGTCTGGGAAATGTGTATTTGTTCCACCTAAACAATATTGAAAGGAGAGCGAGGGAGATGTCTGCTCTGTACATGCCTATGCGGTCCAGAGGAGTCAGTGAAGATAGTAAAAACACCTGCGTGTGGGTGTGCAGAGCCTTGAATAAAATGTGTCTTTACGTTCGCAGGGAGAGCGAGAAGACAAAGCTGCTGATCTCTCAACAGACACAAAAGGTTGTGGAGAAGGAGGCAGAGACAGAAAGGATCAAAGCTGTGATAGGTGAGAAAGGAGACGTCAAACAATCGTGGTTACGGTTTATTGTGAGTTGAACATTTAAATATGTTTCTGTTTTACAGAGGCTGAGAAAGTGGCACAAGTGGCTGAGATCAAGTATGGACAGAAAGTCATGGAGAAGGAAACGGAGAAAAAGATCTCTCAAATTGAAGGTTTGCATCCAGTGGTGAAAGAAGCACTCAAATCCATTTTATAAACCCATTGCAAGGAGTTTTAACTGGTTATGAAACTGTCTCAATGTAGTACTGATGCCTGTATATGACCTGCTTTAACAAAAAAAGCGAATCCATCAGCAAAGGGATTGGCTGTTTCTATATAAGTATTCTTAATTCCTGCCACCAGGTCGGATTTGGTCCGATTCCCCTTGAAATCAATGAAACAAGGCAGTAGAAACACTACCACTTTTTTCCACAGGGGTCGCCAGAATCAACACAAAATTCCTTATATGGGCTTTAAGTAAAGATGGATGGATGGATGGATATATAGATACTGTATTTATCCCGAGGGAAATTCAAGCATCCAGTAGCATACAAAATACAAAACATACATAAAACTAAAATTAAAAACCCTGACCTTAAGAAATTTCCCAAGGAAAAGCTACTGGATAATCTCCTGTCTCGGCACCGGCGCGCCGGAAGCAGAAAAAAAAAGAAAATCCCAAAAACAATAACCAAAAATATTCTAGTATCAAAAGTAAATTCCCCTTGTAACTAAAGTTATGTTATAAATATGTATATACAGTTTAGTCTCTTAAAGCTAGAGAAAGTAACTTTTATAAAAATAACTTTTTGTCATATTTGTTGAAACTTTGACTATATACTTCATGAGATATGAAAACAAATCCTCATTTCACTCCTAATGGCATTTCCAAGAAAGTTTGGGTTGATGGCTTGAAGATAGTTGATTGTCGAGGGGCATTCCCAGCATGTGTATTTGACGACCTGGGAATGACACTGAACAACCATAAATATCTCTTGGCTCTGATTGGTTGTTTACGTTCCAGTGCAGTGGATTCTTGTAAATGCAATTAGGAGGTTTTTTTCACAGATTATCTGTCTCATGTAGGACGAAGCTTTAATACTGATGCCTACTAAGGAGAGGGTGTACAAAGTAATGTAAACATTACGTTAAAAGGGAATTGTTTAGAGACTGTTTTTTTATTTTTTTTTGTAAGTAGTCACAAACGAACAAGGTTGGAAAACTGGTTTAATCTTAAAATGCATTGTATTGCATAAGTTATTATATAATATCTTAATCTGAAAAATAACAGTAATCAGAGCTTTTAGATAAATGTAGAGGAGTAAAAAGTACCCTATTTTCCTCTCAAATGGAAAGTGAAAGTAGGAAGTACAAGTCCTGTTGCTGCATCTGCAGGCCAGGTTGTCATTGTAAATGTGAATTGGTTCATAATTGACTTATCTGGTTAAATAAAGGTAAAATAATATTAAAAACTGTGGAATTGTGCAGAACTTAAGTATCTGTATAAATGTACTTGGTTACTTTCCAGCACTGTCTGTGTCCTAGAAAGGCTCAATCTTTGATTGAGATTCGGTGTGTATATCTTAAAGGGGAACTTGGCAACTCTAGCCATTTCTTCGCTGGTTTTCATTTTTGTCATCGCATGTTTCTACAACGAGGCTCCCCCTCACATGCTCTGGGACTGTATTTCACAATCACGTCATAGGAAAAGAAAACTTTCACTGCGGCACCCTCCCTCCCACTGTTCTACCGGCTGTGCTGATGTGGCCTTTTTTTTCAGCGGGCAACTTTTTGTGTGGAGGCAATATCTACCGGAAGGTGGTTATACATTAAAACTACATTACTGTTATTGAGGCCAGCGTGTGCTTTATGTGGATGCCGTAAAGTGCCGTTCTTGTCTCGGCTCGTTCTCGGCTCTCCCATAACCTTGCCTATTTCCAATTTACGGACCGGTGTAGTCCAAAGTTGGCAAGGTGCTTTTCCGCCTGGGGTCGCATGGGTCGCCTGAGGGTGGGGGGGGTCCACCATTTTCGGTATACAAGGGCCCATTTAACCAATACCAAGATGATTTCTAAACAGGTTATTAAGCTGAAAAAGTTCCAAGTTCCCCTTTAAAGCTCAGAAAGTATTTTTTTCCTCAAATTCCTTTTTTTACAGCAGGCATGTGATGACATGAATAAGCACCATAGCCCTTTTACCCTAGCATGTTCACTCAGGATAAGGAGTAATAATGAGCTTATGAAACAGCTATCGTCAGTGTTTTCAGTTCCACCTGTACTTTTCCTGCTATGACATGTCAGAATATGACTCTTTGTAAGACCAAACCTTACATGTTTTTCTTTACCAAAAAAAAAAAAAAAAAGTCAAGATGTGACTTCAAAGCATATTTGCTATAGGAGTCTGGGAACCAGCTGGGTTAGATAGAACTCAATGTTTGTCGAATACAGTATTTATGGCAGCTTCCTGCTTTCTGAGTGGTCAAGCAGGTTAGACCTTTTTTTTAACTGACCTGCTGCGGTTGAATCTGACAGTGTTTGTTTCTGATTTATAGACGGTGCTTTCCTGGCCCGGGAGAGAGCCAGGGCAGATGCAGAGTTCTATACAGCACAGCGAGCTGCAGAGGCCAATAAGGTAAGGAGATGACAAACACACATCCCACATCACTCTGGACAAATATGGACTTGGCAGTCTGGACTTCTTTGGTAATTTGAATTCTGTTTTCCCCTTCCTGCAGCTGAAGTTAACACCAGAGTACCTGCAGCTAATGAAGTACAAGGCCATTGCAGCCAACAGCAAAATCTACTTTGGGAACGACATACCGCAAATGTTTGTGGACTCTGGCTCCGCAGGGAGCTCTATTAAGGCCTCTGCAGCCATGGACATTGTTGGTGAGCAGTTCTTTGACCTGGATTAGCAAGGAAAGTAGTGGAACCCACAGGAACACCCAGGGGTGGCAGGACTATCTGCTGGAGGGCAGGAGCCTGGTCCACAGACTGCCTGGCAGGTTCTCCCTCTGGCCCAGAGAAGCTCTGCTGACCAGGGCCCGTATTTCTCAAGCATCCCTGAGTCACTGCTAGACATCACATTGAAAGTTTGACTGTAAAATTCTCCTACCTCACAGCAGAGGACTTGCACTACTTATGGGGAGAGATTGTCTAGACTTGGTAAATTAGTAAGAAGAAACACTAGGTAGAAATAGAATCCCCTGTAGGTGTGTAATAAGCTGCTTTAACGGTGAATTAACAGTCAATTAGCCAAAACACTTATTTAAGGAATTATCCCTGCTGCTGTGCATCAAGTGCATCCATTTCACCACAACACCAAGGATCACAAAGCCATTACTACTTATGTATTCATACTGTCCATTTGCGTGCATGTGTCCTCATCGAGCATTTGAAGCAGTGATATTTGCTACCTGTTGATACTGAAGAAGAAAAGAAAAAAAGTTCTCGAATCGTTGCTAATCGGAATGGGCCTTTTTTTAACCTCACTAAGTAAGTAAGTGATAAGGATCAATCAATTAGCTGTTAACTATTAAATGAATTGCCAACTACTTTAATAATTTGAGTAAGATGGCCGAATGTCCACATTTTCTGATTTCAGCTTCTCAAATGTGAATATTCCCTGGTTTCTTTAGTCCTCTGTGACAGTACACTGAATAGCTTTAGGTTGTGGACAAAACTAGACATTTGAGGACGTCCCCTTTGGGCTTCCACCTCAATGATAGACATTTTTCACAATTTTCTGACATTTTATAGTCCAAACAACTAATCGATTAATTGAAAAATGATTGACAGATGAATTAATAATGAAAATAATACTGCGGTTTAAATGTAGATTATCACTCTGCAGCTTAATGAACACCATTTCTGTTCAGTGGGGTGGTGTTAGCAAACCGTCAGTTGTTATGAATGGAGCAGTCCCAGGAAAAACAAAAGGAATTCATCAAAATACCTTTTAATCCAGTGAATCTCTTTCGTGTTATGTCATGTTATTTTCAGCAACATTTTCTACGTTCCCACGAGTCCCAGTACAGGAAAGCTCTGCCTAGAGAACGTAGGATAACTTTACAAGATTAAGAAAGTTCCTAATGTTGACACTCCTCTGCTGAAAAGAAGGACCAAATAAGTGTCACTGTGAGGATAGTAGGCGGTGGTTTCTCACTCTGAGCTGCTTGAAAAATACAGACTCTTAATAAACATGTCATTGCAGACAAAACAAAGGGATGATGAATGTACTGTGTGGTAGCTACTGGCCGTCAGATGTAATATCATCGCTCCACTTATTTGAGTTTATGTTTTTGTAAAAAAAATTTTGAGCACCTGTTAATTATAAATTGAGCGTGTGAAATTGTACCACATTTTGCTGTGTTTGTAGGCACTATGTTTTTCACACTGTACATTTAGCAGAGAGACTATCTGTGCAGCGGTTAGTCTCTGTTGTGCATTAGGAGTTTTATTCAAACTTAGATTATGTTGCGTTATGCCATGAAAAACAGCTTTTGGACTCTTTCATCACCAGACTACAGACCTATGACATCATCAGGTTTCCAAAATGGACAATTTTAAGTTATTTTAAAAAATAATTTAATGTAACTATGTCATGTAAGAATCTTCAGGAAGTGGGGTATGCACATCAGTGAATTGCCTCTGAACCTTTGGCAGCATGAGCTGTTGCCCTGGAGGAGGCAGCGTTCATAGGACCTGTATACTGCAGGTATAAACAGGTGGATACTGAGGACTCACTGTAGAAATATTACCAACATGTCAGTCTGTATAAGTCAGTCATTCATTTGGGAAACCAAACCTCTTTATAGAAATTTTGACTTGATCAGGACCAAAAACTAACTCCAATGTGGTAACATTTGTCTGGCTGTTTTTGTTTACCAGTACTTTGCAACAGATGAATGCAGTGTTGAATAGCACAGAATACGTGACAAAATTATTTGCTTTCCAAAGAAGCATTTTGTTACGTAGCTGAGGAGGAATTAGGTATGCAGGCGTGTGTGGGCATTGTTATGGGGAATTTGGCATTGTTTTTACTAGTGATTTAGCCGATAAGGTGCCCCAGGGGGAAAGTATTTCTTTAATCTAAAGTTAAATGACTCGTGTCCTGAATTATCTTTGACAAAATACAACTTCCACTCATTATTTCTTGTACAGTGGTTATATCCTGTGTAAATGGCACCGCTCTCTGTTGTCTAAAGTTTGTCGAGTTGGCCCTCAGTGACCTCCAGTTGGCATTTTAATAAGATTTTCTCTGATTGAGACTTGCAATGACTTGAAAGGCAAATGTTTTTGCACTAATTTCAGTTGTGAATGTGCAATCAAGATATTGTCGTTGGACAATAAAGTACTGTGGGTTGTTCTTGGAGAAATCAATGGAATTCTAATGATTTATTTTGTATTACATTGCAAGTCCAATGTGATGTATAGGATGTTTGTTATTAATAAAAGTGTTTCAAACACAATAAAACATAGTATCTAAACAGCTGTTGTCATTGCATATCAGATTATTGAAGTAGTTGAAAAAAGTACTTTTGAGTAATAATGATACCATAATGAAAGCTTCCTTACAGTTCCTTAATTCAGGTTGTAAAGTAGAGCGTTGCAGTATCATATTTATCAAATGTAAATGAAGTTACTGTCAGTAATGTTACTGATAAAGTATTGAGTTGTGTTTAAAATCGCTCATTGATTTCTTCAGTATAACGTTTTACCATAAGAGAAACAAAATCCAGGTCATTTGGAAACCAGACTGGGAGATATATGAATGAATCATCATGTGATCATTGCACCTGAGACATCTGGGAATAAACAAACTACTTTCTTCTTGAGTCACTCCTAATTTACTCTGAACATTATAAAGCACTCTTTGTAGGTTCATCACTACAAGCAGCTCCTTTTCCCATTGTTTTCACATTGTCATTTGATACATTGTTAATATGAAAGCTTATCAAAAATTATTGAAAATCTCCTATCAGCATGATTTGTGACAGTTAGGAAATCATCCTGGTCCAGTATCAACTTGTACAGTGTGATGAAACTTGAAGCCACCAGTGCACAGACACTGAGAATGGAACTTTAGAAATTAACATTCGATATTCAGAGATATATTTTTTTTTATTATTTTTGAACAGGATCCCACAACAAGCAGGCCCACCTTAGTAAAGACATTGTACTTTGGTGGCTCAAATTTCTTTCCACACAAATGTGCAGTTTATCAAATTACAGCCAACTCACTCAGAATGAAAATGGAGCTTTGGTTGGCATTTTCCCACTTAGTAGCACAGTAATGAGCAAAGATTTATTTGATTTTAATAACGTCACTTAGAAAGAAATTCAAAAGAAATTCAGTGAAAATTGAAAATTGAAAGTGA